TTTCCTTCTACCAGTCTAGCCCCTTTGCTGTACGACTCCTGAGGTCCGCTCCAGACCCTGCTTGTCTGGGTTGCACCTCTAGCAGCTGTGGCACAGCGAGGGATGCTACCAGTTTCTTTTTCTGCTATCTTTGTCCCAGGATGATGCCTGCCTAATGTCAGTCTTTTGGATATAGAGGGGTCAGGGAGCTGCTTGAGGAGACAGTTTGTACTTCATACGGGCTTAATTGCTGAGCTGTGCACTCTGTTGTTCATTCAGGGCTGTTAGGCTGCTATGTTTGATTCTGCTGCAACAGAGCTCATTAAAAAACCATTTTTTTTTCTCAAATGCTCTGTGTTGAGGGGTTTGGGCTTTATTTTTGGATGTTCGATGAGGTGTCTTGCCCAGCTAGAAGGCAGACTAGCCACTGTTTGGCTGCCGAGGCTCCGCCCTGCTGTTGTGTGATTCGCCCTGTTCCTGCAGGCTCTGCTGTGGTCTCCGCCACACCCTGTGGCGGAGTCTCTTCATTGTAGCGTGTTGCCTCAGCAATGGCAGGCTGCATCAGCAGTGGGCGTGTATCTCAGTAGGGACGGGTTGCCTCGACAACAGCTGGCTGCGTCAGCAGTGGGCGTGTATCTCAGGAGGGACGGGTTGCCTCGGCAACGGCAGGCTGCGTCAGCAGTGGGCGTGTATCTCAGTTGGGGTGGGTTGCCTCGGTAGTGGTGGACGCCCCTCCCCCACAGAGCGTCTCGGACCATCTGCTCAGGATAGTTTGAAATCGCAGTTTTGTTCGTCCCACTGGGTATCCCAAACGATCTGTCCCTGCAATCCCCTGGGCTGGGCTACTGTCCAAGTCTCGTTCAGTCTCAAGTCCAGCCCTCTCAAGTCTCAGGTTGCTGGTTCAGCAGGGCACCCGGACAAGCGTGCCCTGTGGGGATTGCTGGGTAGGGCCGGTCGCCGCCACCCCGGCTGCCGGCTTCGCCAGGCAGACCTACTGCCTGGCGTCCCGTGTCTTTTTATACTTGGGAGTTTCCCCGTTCTGTGGGCAACAAAGATCAGTCTGTATATGCAGCTCTGACTCACTGTTTGCGGATTCAACGTGAGCTCCAATCCTGGGTTGTTCTCACAGCGCCATCTTGAGTCCTCTCCCTGATGTTTTCTTTCTTGGAAGGTTATTGACTCAATCTCCTTGCCTACTCAGATGATCTATTTCTCCTTGCATGAGTTTTGGTAGTTTGTATCTTTCAAGTAATTGCTCCATTTCATCTACTTCATTAAACTTTTGGGCATAGAGTTCGTAGTATTCCTTGATTATCCTTTTAATTTTCATGGGACAATTAATGACATATCCAATTTCTATTATTGGTACTATATTGCTTATATTTTTAAATTTTCTGTATATTATGATGTTTTGACATCTTTAAAAAAAGGCCTTTCTGGCTTGGGGGAAACTACACCCTCCTGAGGCAAGCCAATTCATAGCTAAGCAAAAGGACTTATCCAGGGAGCATGGCTTTGATATATAAAAAACGAAATATCAAGCCATACCTCCTTGGTCCAGCCCATATGCAACAGGCCTTCATCTGTCTTAACCATTGCAGATATACCCACCACATAACTAGGGACAACCTGTATACTCCAAGGCCCTCTAGTATGAGATTATTCATACTAGCCAATCCTAATCTGTTTACTCTACCCTACCTTGCTTTTCCTGTGGAAACTCCAATTGAGGCTCTAGTCAAGGCTTTTCTCTTGCGCTTGTTTTCTGCCTCCTGACTGACTACCCCGAGGCTTCCCCATGTAACCCTTTATGGCATGGCATGGCTCCTATTTCTAGGACCTGTGAGTATAATACATTTTTTTTTCCTCTCATGGACACACCTGACTGACCATCACAGAAAATAACACAGAACAGGTGATTTGGATCTTCTCTTTTTCTTGGTTAGCACAGCTATAAGTTTATTGATTTTAACTAGATTCTGGTTTCTGTAATTTTCTCTATTGTTTCCCGGTTTCAATTTTATTGATTTATGTTCTAATGTTTATTGTTACTTTTCTTTTGCTTTCTTTAAGCTTAATATTTTTCCTTTAGCTGCTGAAGGTAGACATTCAGATCGAGTTTAGATTTTTCTTCTTTTCTAATATAGGCATTGAATGCTAAGCACTCCAAGCACTGCTTTCAGAGCATTCAACGGGTTTTGATAAGTTATATTTCAATTTTTATTTAGTTCAAAATGTTTTTTAATTCTTCTAGATATCTACCTGATCCATGTACTATTTAAAAGTGTGGGTTTAATTTGCAGATATTTTGTGGTTTTCCAGCTGTTTTGTTACTGATTTTTAGTTTAGTTTTATTGTAGTCTGGGACCACAGTTTGCATAATTTCTGTTATAGGTTGAAGTGTGCCACCTCCCCCTCCCTACCATATATTGAAGTCTGAACCCCCAGTACCTGTGAATATGGTCTTTACAGATGTAATTAAGTTAGGATGGTGTCCTTAGGGTGGCCAAAGTGCAATATTACTGGAGTCTTTATGAAAAGTAGGAATGCCATGCAAACACAGAAACACACAGGGGAAACGCTACATGATTATAGAGGCAGAGAGAGGTTGTGGTGATGCAGCTGCAAGCCAAGGAATGACAAGGAGTGACAGCCACCATCAGAAGCTAGAAAGAGGCAAAGAAAGATTCTCCCCTGTAAATTTCAAGCAAAACATAGTCCTTCTGTTACTGTGGCTTTGGATTTCTAGCCTCCAGACCCATGAGTAAATACATTTCTGTTGTTTTAAGCCCCTCATTTGGTGGTATTTGGTTACAGCTGTCCTAAACTATATAATTTCTATTCTTTTAAATTTATTAATGTGTGTTATGGCCCAGAATGTGTTATAGCTTGGTGAACATTCCATGAGACCTTGAGAAAAGTGTGAATTCTGCTCTTATTGAAATGAGTATGCTATAAATGTCAATTACATCAAGTTGATTGATGGTGCTGCCTAGAGCAACTCCTGCTGATTTTCTGCCCGCTTAACCTATGAATTACTGAAGGAGTAGTGTTGAAGTCTTCAAATATAATAATGGATTTGCCTATTTCTCTTTGCAAATCCAATTAGTTTTGGCCTTATCCATTTTGACACTGTTGTTAGGAGCATATACACCAGGATTGTTCTGTCCCCTTGGAGAATTCACTCTATCATTAATGCTGCTGTTTGTCCCTGATAATTTTCCTTGTTCTGATATCATCTTGGTTTGAAATTTAATACAGCTACTCTAGCTTCCTTTTGATTAGTACTAGCATAGTCTTCCTTTCTTTATCTATTGATGTTGTAAATAATTTATTTTTAAGATGTTTTAACAGGTTGAGTGATTTGTTTCACATATCTATATTTACCCATATAAAGTGTACTATTCATTGGCTTTCAGTGTATTCACAGAGTTGTACACCATCAACACAATCAATTTAGATTTTTTTTCACTAGCACCCCCCAAACCCTGCAACTCCTTAGCCAATCCTCTGTCACTTGCCAAGCATAGGCGACTACTAATCTACTTCTGTCTCTATAGATTTGCCTTTTCTGGACATTTCCTATAATATGCAGTTATATTGAAATAGAATCCTATAGTATGTGATCTTTTGTGAATGACATTAGATAATAGTTGGTCTTTTGTGAATGGCTTCTTTCACTTAGCATAATAGATTCAAGTTTCACCCATATTGCTGTATATATATATGCTTCATTCTTTTTTGTTTCTGAATAATATTCCTCTGTAGGAATATACCAGTTTTTATTCAACCACTAATCAGTTTATGACCCTTATGGGTTTGTTTTGTATTTTGGCTATTATGAATAATCCTGCTATAAACATTTGTATATATATACTTTTTGTGTGCATTGTGTTTCCATTTTGCTTGGGTGTATACTTAGTGGTTGCTGGATTATGTGGTAACTCTGTGTATAAACAATTGAAGAATGGTTAGACCATTTTTTTCACAGTGGCTGTGCAATTTTCACATTCCTGCTAACAGTTTATTAGGGTTCAAGTTTCTCTACATCCTTCTCTGCACTTGTTATTGTCCATCTTTTTATTTATTCATTTAATTATTTGAGACGGAGTCTCCCTCTGTTGCCCAGGCTGGAGTGCATTGGTGTGATCTCTGTTCACTGCAACCTCTACCTTCTGGGTTCCAGTGATTCTCCTGCCTCAGGCTCCTGAGTATCTGGGATTACAGGCATGTGCCACCATGCCTGGCTAATTTTTTGTATTTTTAGTAGAGACTGGGTTTTACCATGTTGGCCAGGCTGGTCTAAAACTCCTGACCTTGGGTGATCCACTGCCTTGGTCTCCCAAAGTGCTGGGATTACAGGTGTGCCACTGAACCTGGCTGTCCATCCTTTTGGATGGCCGTTTTAGTGGGTGTCTAGTGGCATTTAATTTTGTTTTTAATTTTCATTCTTTTTGGCTATTTGTATATGTTCTTTGGAGAAATCCCTATTCAACATTCTTTGCCCATTTTTAACATAGGTTGTCTTTTTTATTTTATTTATTTATCTATTTTGAGACAAGGTCTCACTCTGTCACCTAAGCTTGTGTGCAGTGGTGTGACCATGGCTTTCTGCAGCCTTGATCTCGCAAGCTCAAGCAATTCTCCCATCTCAGTCTCCTGAGTAGTTGGGACTACAGGCGTGCACCACTGGGCCCTGCTAATTTTTTTTTTTTAATTGAATTCCTTTTTTTTTTTTTTTGTAGAGATGGGGTCTCGCTCTGTTACCTTGGCTAGTCTGGAACTTCTGGGCTCAAGCAATCCTCCTGCTTTAGTCTCCAAAGTGCTGAGATTACAGGCATTAGCCACTGTACCCACCTGTTTTTGAATTTTAATAGTTCTTTATATAGTCTAGACACAAGTTATTTATCAGATATATAATTTGCAAGAATTTCCCCTCTTCCTGTAGTTTTTCTTCTTACTTTATGGTATTTTTTGAAACAAAAGGTTTTTAGTTTTGATAATGTCTAGTTTATCTATTTTTCTTTTTTGGTAATGCTTTTGGTTGTCATAGCTAAGAATCCATCAAAGATTCTTAGAATTGTAATTCAAGGTCATAAAGATTTAAACCAAGTTTCTTTGAAGAGCTTTAGAGTTTTACCTTCTAAGTTTAGATCTTTGATCCACTTTAATTTTTGTATATGATGTGAAGTAAGGATCTAACTGCATTGTTTTGCAGTAGGATATCCAGTTGTCTCCCCATCTGTTGAAGATGATTCTTTTCCCACTGAATGGTCTTGCACCCTTGCTAAAGATCAGTTGACCATACACACATGAAGGTTTATTTCTGGACGTCCATTTTATTCCAAAACAATCGGAATTATTAACTGCTTACATGTTTCAGGCATGATCCTAAGCATGAATTCATTTGCTTCTCACAGTAACTGCGAAGTGGGCACTATTCTCATTCCCACGTGGCAGATGAAGTGGCCAAGATACAGGGTGTTTTGCCTAAGGCCACATAAGTAACTACTAAGTGGCAGTGCCAGTGTAAGAATGTAGGTTGACTAAGTTGAGAGCCTGGGATCTTAGCCCTTCATGCTGTAAACAAAAGTTAGCAATCAAAACTTCAGAATTCCACTGAAGAGTTCAGTTTAAGCAAACGGAATGAAGGTCAGATTAGCCACTAAGGGTTTGAAAAGCAAAACAGGGAGGGACTTCCTCACCAGCTTGCTTTTTGCCGAGTAGCGGCAATGGACCTGCCTTTTTTGGTTGAAACTCCTACAACCTCCCCCGACGCCCCCTCCCCCGCCAAGTTGATAATTTGCACTGGCTGTAAGTCGAATTTGCACTTAATTCCTGGGCAGTGCTGAGTGGTGCGACCAAGGGTCGGGCCCACTGCCAGGGCCTCCCGCCGCTTTCGGCCCAGAACTTGGTAGTGGCAAGGCGTCAGTGCGGGACTGGAAGTTGCCCCGGATGTGGAAACTCTCGCGGGAAGATGCATCGTTGCCTCGGTAACCGCGTCGCAATTGCCGAAGATGGCGGGGCGCGGTCTTGGTTTCAGAGTCGGTTCAACTCCAGGCTCCTGGGGAGGTCTGGGCTCTGGCGACTAGGACACCTAAGCTCCCTTATCTTCAGGTCTGAAACTCTCTGCCTCTTTTACAGAGAAGCAGCGTTCCAGGGACTCAGCTCCCGCCACCACTTCAGCAACCCTCTGCACCCGGACACGACCTCCTCGCTTTGGAGGAAGAATATAAGTAAGAAATTCGGCGGTTGAGCTTTCCTTCTTTCTTTCATCTAAATGAGGCTGCTTACAAGTACTTTTTCTGAAGACTGGCTGGATCTTCAGGACCACTCACTCTGCAGCATTCCCTTCCAGTCATCTCGTTCTCTCGCCGTTTATCCTTTCTCTTTCACCTGAGTAGTTCGCCTGCGTCTTAGAAGATATTTGAAGTGGGTGAAAATTTAGCCCAAGTAAACAGTAATCTGCTTTTGGAAGTTACTTGAGTAGCAGGAATTGCCACGGATAGTTCAGTTTCTAGTTTAGTTTATTTCACTTAGTAGCAAGTTCATAGAGTTTACCTTATGTAAGTTTCTTTTACATTGGTTTCTAAATTGAAAGCATGCTTCCCAGTGCAATCAGAATTACCGTTCTGGTTCAGATTTTCCTTATCTGATCTCAGTGTAATTACAAGTATCTTGACAAACTTTCATTCTTGGCCCATTCCACTCATCATCCCTAAGTTTTCACACAGCAGCCAGTGTAATCTTTTAATTTACTTAAAACTCTACAGTGGTTTCCTGTTGCACTTTAAAAGCTCCTCCTGCCCCCTTTTTATTTGATCTTATTCCCGCTCCCATTTCCTCCCTAAAACTCTCCAGCTTAACTGGCCTTTCAGTCCGAAAACTCTTTCAGGTTTTTTTTCTGTCTCAGGAAAAAGACAATTCACACACGCCTTCAACCTGTATTGTGAGTGGCCTTCCTTGACCACATATGATATATATTTAAAATTAAAGCATATTTGAAATTAAAACTGAAGAGTACTATGTTTAGATGAACTATACACCAATTTACCATAGCAAGTAGGACAATCATATCTTCTCTCTGATCAAATGGGCCTATTATCCCAGTTCACAAGTGTACTTAAGCAGCTTAATCTGTTGTCTATATATACTTATTAGCTGTGCATGAATCAAAACCGTTATTTTCATATTATTATACATATAGTATTAAATACCTGGATTAGGTTTGTCAGTTATTTGAGAGTATAGTTTGCACCTGGCTCTGGTGCATCATTAAGGATATAGTCCTGTTCTGTTGTGTACTCTTGAGTTGTGCACATGTGAAGTGTATGAATGGAGTAACTCTCTACACTACCTGAATCTTCTAGAGTACTTCTGTGTCAGGTAGAAGAGTAAAATGTCTGGTCATCCCTAGAGCAATAATATGAGATTATAACAGTATGGTATCTATTTTGCCACCTGTTGTCTTGGCATTAGTCATTAGAATGCTACTTCCCAGGGACCTGAATCCAAAACCTTTGTAATTCTGCTCCTATTGGAGGAAATAATCACTATTTGAGAGGACAGACTAAGGAAGATGCTAATCACTCAAGTGGATAGATTTTTCAAGCTTCATTCCTGTATTATAATACCAATAGCTAAACAATAAGATTACATGATAACTGGTAGGGCAAGTCCCCTCATAAATCCCAGTTATATTGGATTTGCAGATTAATTTGCAGATAATGGATTTATTTATGCTATTGAATCTTCCATGAATATGATACTTCTCCATTTACAGTGTATTTTTTAACCTTTAATAGTGTTTTGTTCTACTACATAAAATACTTGCATATATAATTTGCTTCAAGATACTAAATAGTTTTTGTTGCTATATAATAAGTGGACTTTTTTTGTTACATTTTCTAATTGGTTATAAAAGGATTTTTAGATGTTGATGCTACATCTATATTTACATACACGCACAGATCTTCAGTCCTACTGGACTCTCTTATTCATTCTATGAAGTCCCTTGGATTTTTGATGAAGACAGTTATATGCAAATTATGATCATTTTCTCCCCTAGTAATTCTCTTGCATTCTCTCTTTTTCTCTGTTTAGGACTTCCCATGTCATATGGAATAGAAAAAATGATGAACTTCCTTACCTATGATTTTGAGAAGCCCACTTTTAATAATCACTACATTTGAAGTTTGCTCTAGGGTTTTGATAGATTCTTTTTTTATGTTTAAAATTCTTCCCCTTAATTCCTAATTTGAATGAGTGTTAAATATATCAAAACTTCTTTTTTCCCCAATTAATTCAGGTGGTGGTATGTTCTTTTTCCCTCCTTTAATGCTTTAACATACTGAAGTGCAAAGGCAGCTTTCTTGTTTTTCTTTAAAGACTGCTAGATTTGATTGGTGTAATTTTTTTATGTAGGTTTTGCATCTATGAACAAAAGTGAAATGGGTGTTACACCTTTTTTCTAGTTCTTATCCTTTCTGTTTTTGATATCAATATTATTCCGGCTAGATGAAATAAACTGAATAGTTCTCTTGTTTTGTTTCTTTTCTTGGAAGCTTTTTATAATTAGAGATTTTTTGCCCTTTGATTAAAATTGTGAAACTCTGTCATTCTAGTGTTCTTTTGTCAAGGAGACTTTTTGTCTATGAATTTAGCTTCTTTAGTGATTACGTAACTATTTAGATGTTCTATTTCTAGAATGATTTTTGGTTCTAGAAAAGTGTGCATGTGTGTTTTAAAATATATTAGCATAAACTGATTCTACGGTTGTATGTTTGAAATCTTGACTGTATCTGTAACCGTGTACACCCCTCCTTTTTGTAGCTTTCCAATATTGTTTATTTTTGTCTTTTTCTATCAAGGTTCCTGGGAGATTTATCTGTTTTACTGGTCTTTTCAGAGAATCAGCTTTGGTTTTCTTGGTAATCTGTGCTATTGTAAAATATCATTAATCTTTATAGAAATAAAGAAAGACAGATGATCTAACTGGGGTGGATTAATTTTTTTTTTTTTTTTTAGTTTCTTGACCTCATTTGTTTTCTTATTTTTTAATAAATATATTTAAGTCTTTAAATTTCTCTCCAACTATAGCTTAACTACATTCCAGGACTTCTTTTGATGTATATTTCTCTTATGGTTATTAAGTTCTAAATATTATGTGGTTTTCATAGTGATTATTTAGAAGTGTGTTTTTTAGTTTGCAAGCACATAGAGTTGTTTACTGTTGTCTGCTTTTTACTTTTCTTTTTTTTTTTTTTTTTTTTAATTTTTTATTGGATTATAGGTTTTGGGGTACATGAGCAGAGCATGCAAGACAGTTGCGTAGGTACACACATGGCAGTGTGCTTTCTTTTCTTCTCCCCTTCACCCACATTTGGCTTTTCTCCCCAGGCTATCCCTCCCCACCTCCCCCTCCCACTGGCCCTCCCCTTTTCCCCCCAATAGACCCCAGTGTTTAGTACTCCCCTTTCTGTGTCCATGTGTTCTCATTTTTCATCACCCACCTATGAGTGAGAATATGCGGTGTTTCATTTTCTGTTCTTGTGTCAGTTTGCTGAGGATGATGTTCTCCAGATTCATCCATGTCCCTACAAACGACACAAACTCATCATTTCTGATTGCTGCATAATATTCCATGGTGTATATGTGCCACATTTTCCCAATCCAGTCTATTATCAATGGGCATTTGGGTTGATTCCAGGTCTTTGCTATTGTAAACAGTGCTGCAATGAACATTCGTGTACATGTGTCCTTATAGTAGAACGATTTATAGTCTTTTGGATATATACCCAGTAATGGGATTGCTGGGTCAAATGGAATTTCTATTTCTAAGGCCTTGAGGAATCGCCACACCGTCTTCCACAATGGTTGAACTAATTTACACTCCCACCAACAGTGTAAAAGTGTTCCTTTTTCTCCACATCCTCTCCAGCATCTGTTGTCTCCAGAGTTTTTAATGATCGCCATTCTAACTGGCGTGAGATGGTATCTCAATGTGGTTTTGATTTGCATCTCTCTGATGATCAGTGACGATGAGCATTTTTTCATATGATTGTTGGCCTCATATATGTCTTCTTTCGTAAAGTATCTGTTCATATCCTTTGCCCACTTTTGAATGGGCTTGTTTGTTTTTTTCCTGTAAATCTGTTTGAGTTCTTTGTAAATTCTGGATATCAGCCCTTTGTCAGATGGGTAAACTGCAAAAATTTTTTCCCATTCTGTTGGTTGCCGATCCACTCTAGTGACTGTTTCTCTTGCCGTGCAGAAGCTGTGGAGTTTGATTAGGTCCCATTTGTCTATTTTGGCTTTTGTTGCCAATGCTTTTGGTGTTTTGTTCATGAAGTCCTTGCCTACTCCTATGTCCTGGATAGTTTTGCCTAGATTTTCTTCTAGGGTTTTTATGGTGCCAGGTCTTATGTCTAAGTCTTTAATCCATCTGGAGTTAATTTTAGTGTAAGGTGTCAGGAAGGGGTCCAGTTTCTGCTTTCTGCACATGGCTAGCCAGTTTTCCCAACACCATTTGTTAAACATGGAATCCTTTCCCCATTGCTTGTTTTTGTCAGGTTTATCAAAGATTGTATAGTTGTATGTATGTTGTGTTTCCTCCGGTGCCTCTGTTTTGTTCCATTGGTCTATATCTCTGTTTTGGTACCAGTACCATGCTGTTTTGATTACTGTAGCCTTGTAGTATAGTTTGAAATCCGGTAGTGTGATGCCCCCCGCTGTGTTCTTTTTGCTTAGAATTGACTTGGCTATGCGGGCTCTCTTTTGGTTCCATATGAAGTTCATGGTGGTTTTTTCCAGTTCTGTGAAGAAAGTCAATGGTAGCTTGATGGGGATAGCGTTGATTCTGTAAATTACTTTGGGCAGTATAGCCATTTTCACGATATTAATTCTTCCTAACCATGAACATGGAATGTTTCTCCATCTGTTTGTGTCCTCTCTGATTTCGTTGAGCAGTGGTTTGTAGTTCTCCTTGAAGAGGTCTCTTACGTTCCTTGTGAGTTGTATTCCAAGGTATATTATTCTTTTGTAGCAATTGCGAATGGCAGTTCGCTCTTGATTTGGCTTTCTTTAAGTCTGTTATTGGTGTAGATGAATGCTTGTGATTTTTGCACATTGATTTTATATCCTGAGACTTTGCTGAAGTTGCTTATCAGTTTCAGGAGTTTTTGGGCTGAGGCAATGGGGTCTTCTAGGTATACTATCATGTCGTCTGCAAATAGAG